CCAACTTCTCACCTTTTCTATCAATATTTGAATTCATCTGGAAACAAAGGCGAGTCATGAGTTGCACATAAACCTCAAACAACATGTCAAGACTCGTAGTCTTAAATTATAAGGGTTATTATTGACTTTATTCTGCTGCCCTGCCTTTTGTCATGCAGCATAGATCACAGGCAGAATCCAAAAGAGAAATGCTGCTCGTTGATATGATATTAGCTTGGCGTTGGAGGAACTGCCTTCTGATTCGGTCACACTCGGTAAAGTGTGGCAAGCGGCTCCTGGCCTTTCCTGCCCGTCATTTGTGCCATGGTACAACAAAGACCGGCTTAGAGAGAATACAACTTGAACCTTTTCACTCTCAGACAACAAAAACCACAATTCACGGGGCCAAACAGCCTACAGCTAAAAACCTGAGCATCTCTGCACTGCAGCCTTCCCATGAATGTTAACACACCCGCGTGATACGAAGGCTGGATTTCTCAAAGCACTCACACTTTGATTTCCGGAGAATGTGGCGATTTATCGAGCTATAAATATTCATGCGTTCCTGTTAGTATTAATTATTTTTCTACATCTGTGTGCTCTTCGTAATTAGATAAATTGTACAAAGTGATTGTTGTGTTTACTGTGGGGACTGAAATCATTTGTATTGCATGGGGTTCATTCATTCATTTTGCTTACAGCTAATTCATAGCAGAACAATTATTAGCGGCTCAGCAGTGTGAGTGTTCGCTGCAAACACACAACTGTCAACATATAAAGGCCCAGATGTAATGCAGGAAGTTACAGACTGTGACGTTGATGCATTAGCTGCGTTTACTACAGTAAAAGATACGTTTAAAGAACTTTATTTGTAAGAGTTAGCAGTTTCTTATCCTTCCTTTAAAACAGACCAAGAGCCTAGGTAGGTTTAGCCTAATTTAGGATGAACAGATAAATCACAAAAATCAGAACGTCAAAGGATAAAGTAGGACAGGGGTGTCCAGTCCTCGAGAGCTACTGTCCTGCAGCTTTTACATGTATCCCTACACCAACACAGCTGAATCATATGGTTGGATTACCTCTTCAGCATGTCATCAAGTTTGGCAAAGGCCTGATAACAAGCCATTCATCTGTGTGGCGGAGGTGTGATCCCTGGCGTAGCTGCAGGGGAGGGGCGGTGAGCTCAGGGGGCTGGACCGGGACGAGCTGTCACGGCACATTGTTATTATAAATAAAACGTTTTCGTGAGCAAAAACGGCGTGTGTGTGTGTGTGTCGCCTACATCACAAGTGGTGCCGAATGTTCCTGGAGCTTCATCAGATCTTCCCGCTGGGCCACGGCCTGGTCCCGGCACATCGTCGCCAACTCCGCCAGCATCTGTGCCAACAACTGCACAGGCTGAGCGGGCGACGCATCGTGGGGGTCAGACATCCCACACTGGGTTTCGGCACCACTTGTAAATGACCACGGCAGACCCGGGTGCAAGTTCATGCTTTGCAGCATACTTTATCGACTC